GACCAGTCTGGAACTCTTGACCTCAAGTGATCCACCCACCTCGGCCTCCCAAAGTAATAGGTGTGAGCCACCATGCCCAGCCACTAGGTCCACTTTCTTAACACTCATACAAAATGGGCAGGTCATCATTTAAAATTTTCTTTTGAGACAGAAGGCTGGAGGGCAGTGGCACAATTCATAGCTCACTGTATCCTGGAACTCCTAGGCTCAGAAGATCCTCCCACCTCAGCCTCCTGAAGAGCTGGGACTACAGGTATGCACCACCATGCCCGGCCGATTTTTGTAAAGATGGGGTCTTGCTATGTTGCCCAGGCTGGTCTCAAATTCCTGGCCTCAAGTGATCTTCTCACCTCAGCTTCCCATAGTACAGGGATTACAAGCATAAGCCAATGTGTCCAGCCCATACAATTTTTTCTTTTCTTTTCTTTTTTCTTTTTCTTTTTCTTTTTTTTTTTTTTTTTTTGAGACGAGAGTCTGGCTCTGTTGCCCAGGCTGGAGTGCAGTGGCACAATCTTGGCTCACTGGTTCCCTGGTTCAAGTGATTCTCCTGCCTCAGCCTCCCAAATAGATGGGATTACAGGCACAGATCACCATGCCTGGCTAATTTTTGAATTTTTAGTAGAGGTGGGATTTCACCATGTTGGTCAGGCTGATCTCAAACTCCTGACCTCAGGTGATCCACCCGCCTCAGTCTCCCCAAGTGCTGGGATTACAGGCATGAGCCACCATGCCCAGCCTACTATTTTCTTAATAACATTTCCTTTTCTGTAACTTACTTTTTATAAGAATATAATGCATAATACACCCAACATAGAAAATATGTGTTCATCAACTGCGTATGTTACCAGTAAGCCTTCTGGTCAAGAGTAGGCGATTAATAGTTAAGTTCTGGGGGAGTCAGAAGTTATACTTGGATTGTTGACTGTGCAAGGGTTGGCGTCCCTAATCTCTGTGTTGTTCAAGGGTTAACGAGAAAGCCATATTCATGTTATGAAGTCATACATTTATCAAAAACACACTGAAACTTGCTGGCCCCTAACCTGGCTGACTGCCCCACTTCTGGGGTCCTTGAAAGATCTCGTTTCCGTCATTCAAGAAGGCGAAGACTAGAGGAGCCTCAAAATGACGCAGGCAAGATGGCTTCCTCGCACTCAGTCTCCCCAGCTGAGTCGTTCCAATCTATTCCCCACCCCTCCTTACTCCATCCAGCCCAACCCAGCCTTGACAACCTTGAGGTTATTTACTGTCTGACCATCACTTACCTCCTAAAACTAGCTCCCAACCACTTGATCAACCAGTAAATGTTACTGGCCAGGCACGGTGGCTCATGTTTATAATCCCAGCACTGTGGGAGGCCAAGGTGGGCGGATCACTTGAGGTCAGGAGTGCAAGACCAGCCTGGCCAAAATGGCAAAATTCCATCTCTACTAAAAATACAAAAATTAGCCAGGCATGGTGGCACACAGCTGTAATCCCAGCTTCTAGTGAGGTTGAGACAGGAGAATCACTTGAACCCAGGAGGTGTAGATTGCAGTGAGCCAGGATCTTGCCACAGCGAGAGAGCAAGGCTCCACCTCAAAAAAAAAAAAAAAAAAAAAAAAAAAAAAAAACAACTAGGAGAAAGTGGAGCCCTCCGTAAACCCCTCCTGCTTGGACTTCACAGGAGTCCACAGGAAAGATTTAAGAAACTTGAGCAACCTTTAAAATGCCCAGCTCCCAGTCTGTACCAAGTGGCATTGGCATCTCTTATATGCACAGCGCACTGGCTCTGGCAACATCTCCATTAATTCCAAGGGAATAAAGAACATTAAGCTCAAGGTTTCCTTCTCCACCCTTGGGAGCAATGAATGGAGACCGGCTGCAGAGCAAGAGAACATGCGAAGTCCAGGTCTCGTCTCCCAGGCACCAGGAGCCCTTGGCCTCCTCCCCCACAGCCTTCCGCTGCAGCAGGTGGCCCCAGCAGGCCTGGGGTGTCAACAGACAACAGACGGGACGCACATTACCCAAAGCAAGCACTGGCAAAGGATGGGGGTGCTTGAGGGGCCAAGTGGAGAGAGAAAGAGTCCCCTGTATTTCACAGTTCTTCCTGCAGGCTTCATGTCACTGCAAATGACAACAGCAGTCAGGACAATCACATCTGCCTAGGTGCAGCTTGCATTCTTAGCTTGCCCAGGCAAAGCTCTCAATTCAGCCTTGCTACCAACTGGCAAGTCAGGAAGACTCAGCCTTCTTGCCCCACAGCACCTGACTCCACCAGTCTGGGAACCGTTTACGTTCCCAGAGAAGGAAGGGCACCGAGAAGGAAGCTGGACACCAGCGGATCTGAAGCAAGCTGTCACATTAAGTCCCCGAAATGAGCTGGCTTTGGAGGTCAGATGGGCTTTCTTCCTTTGCTCTGCTTGGTGTAGGCAGCAGAGTGTCAGGCAGTGGGTCAAGTCTGTTAGAGAGGCAAATTCTCAGGCCCTACCCCAGACTTGGGCAGGAGGCCCAGAAATCTGTCTTAAAGGGCACTTCAGTGATTCTGATGCACGTGCTGAAGTTGGAGACTTTGGTGCAGGAGCTCCTTTCTAAAGCCTGACCTTCCAAGTTCAGTTCCCACCTCTGACACTAGCTGGGTGACTGTGGGCCCATTGTGCAGGCGGGTGTCAGAGCACCTCACAGGTCACAGTAAAGATCCCATGGTTCATGTATGTCAGAGGCATAGAGGAAGTAACCCCCTTTCACCTAGTTTTCTCCTTTCCCATCTGGGGATGAGGTGAAACCTCTCTGGACAGATGTGAACTTATTGTGAGATAATGCATTTGTAATGTCTTTGCACACATCAGGCACACAGCAAGAATTCCTTTGATTATTACAGAATTTTATTACCTCTATTAGGGAAGTATGGGGTATAGCTCTATAATATGTAATGCTTCTGACTGGAACTAATACTGGGGCCAGGCATGGTGGCTCACACCTGTCATCCCAACACTTTGGGAGGCCCAGGAGGCAGGATTGTTTATAGCCAGGAGTTTGAGGCCAGCCTGGGCAACCTAGCAAGACCGTCTCTATATTTAAAAAAAAAATTAGCAATGTGTAGTGGTGCACACCTGTAGACCCAGCTACTTGGGAGGCTGAGGCTGCAGAATGACTTAAGCCCAGGAGTTCGAGGCTACAGTGAGCTATGATCACACTGCTGCACTCCAGCCCTGACAACAGAGCAAGACCCTGTCTCAAAAAAAAAAAAAGAAAAACATAAATGAAACGGATACTAAAAAAACTGTGTCCCTGAGAAAAGCCTGATGAGTAAGGGAAACCAGGTTATCCTTCAAGTTCCTATGGGTATAGGCAGGAATCTATCCCGAATTATAAGCCCACCCCCTAAGTTTTCGATTCCTCCAAAAATGAACTATGCGTTTTCGTTGCATTCTGTGCCATATTCCAGACACCTGAGGGAAGAGCTAAGTGACTACCTTGACAGCCAGGCCACATACCCTGCAAGTTCAAGACATCCCTGGATACCTGTCAAATGGCATCAGGAAGACTGCAGTATCCTTTCACCTGCTCAGAGATCTGACCACCCCTCCTTCTCCATCCCACCCCTCCAGGAATTACCCAGCGGGACCACTGGTGAGCAGGAAGAGAACCACCTGTCATCCCCCTCCCTGCCCCCTGCCACCACAGCGAAGACAGTTGGGCTTGATCCTCCCATGTGAGCAGGTATGTGGCTGTATTTGCAATTCCGCATATTTCTGTTTTCAGCAAACCTAACACTCCTTTTACTTAGGTGAAAACCATGGCTAGAAGTGTGCGCCTGTGTGGTCAAGAGCACAGGCTCTGTGGTAAACCAGACACAAGGTTTTGACTCCACACTCCATTATTATTCCTGTTACAGTAGTTTGAGGTGCAGCTATATCTTATTTAACACAGGGCCACTGAGTTAACCTCCCCTCGCTTCGTTTCTCATTTCCCATCTGGGGATGGGGTGGAGCCTCACTGGACAGATGTGATCATACAGTGAGATAATGCACTTGTAATGTCTCTGCACGCATCTGGCACACAGCAAAAATTCCATCAGTTGTTATTACCACGATCTTCGTTGATTATCTGCAGTTCGTTTGAGAACATGAGTTAGAAGCTCAGAAAGAGAGGAGGCAGTCTAAGTATGTATCTGCCTTGGATAACCCCATACAGTCCTGGAAACCTGCCTGCACTCAGGTAGATAATACTCACTCTGATGTTGGGAACAGCAAGTATCCGGTGACCTGGCCCAGGTGTGACCATGGCATGTAAAAAGTCTCCCTCTTCTCCAGAAGTACCGAGGAGAACGTTTTAGATGGGACTGATTCTGAGAATGTCACTAATGGGATGCCACATCTCGCTTTGCTACATTCTGGAAACACCTGCTTCTCAGGCCCACCTTGAAGTTTAACAGTCGCCCCTCCGCAGCCCTCAAGGAGAAGCCCTGGCGGCGGCGGGAAGGGAGGAGTCCTCATTCTTAGCTGAGCAGCTCTCCTCATAGAGAGATGACATATTCATCCAATATACTACGGAGTGCATTAGCTCCCCGACCTGGGGCCTTGACTTTGTCTGCAAACATCTAAGCCCGCCAGTCTCCCTGCTCCCTACTGGTCTCCCACCAAACGCTGGGCTCTAAGACCGTTTCCTCCTGCACGTCTGCCCGCGCACCTCCGGTCCCATTTGGCCGCTCCACTAGTTTCTGCGCTCATGCTGGAGTCGCCAGGGAATGATTTCCCGTCCACACACCGGGACCGGGAGCCAACTAACTGTACTGACACATCTCCAGGATAAAACCAAACTTGCAGGTGGGGCACGGAAAAGAACCAGGCAGTTCTTTCCAGCAGCCCCGGCCGTCTGCCCGAGACGCGGCAAGAAGGGAGACGGCCGGAAGGGTAAGAGGGAGTGCGTGGGAGCCAGGAGGTATCGTCTTCACCAGACGCGGCGCGCAGCGTGCAGGGACCCCGGGGCTCACCCTGTGCCCGGCCACCACGCGTCCTTACCATTCAGCTGCCGGTACACGATGTCCTCCAGCAGCGAGAGGCGCTTCAGGACCGCATCCTGGATGGGGCTGGCGCTTTGCGCGCTGAGGTTGGCCACCTCGGCTCGCGGCCGGATCTCATGGAAGGCGTCTCCGCCGCGTACCGCGATGGGCCGGCACTTGGCCAGGAAGAGCACGAAGCCGGCTACCGCGATCAGGTTCAACACCAGCAGCACTTTGACTCTTCTCAGTGAAGCCATCAAACAGCCCGGCCGGACCTGCGCCCCCTCGGGCTCCGGCAACGCCCAGGGCAGCCAGGGGCCGAGCGAGTCTCACTCACCAGAGGCCGGCGGGGATCCCAGCCCCTGCGCGCCCCACCGCAAGGATTCTGGGGCGGCAGAGACGGCTGGGAGGACGGGACAGTAGTAGGGAGCGTGGAACCGCTCACGTGGAAGTCCCCGCTCTGCACAATTGCTCCCCGAGACGCCGGCTCAGTACACAGCGCGCAGCCCCTTCCAGGAGTCTCAGTGAAAGGCCGGGGACTTGGGGGTTTCTCCTCTGCACCAGCCAAGGGTTCGCCTCTGGACCTCTAGCCGCACGCAGCGCCGCGGACTCCGGGGCCGGCAGGCGGGGCTGCCCGGGAGGCGCCGCGGGAGCGGCGCGCAGGTGCCGGGTTCAGGATCGCCACCCACCCACGGCGGAGAGTGCTGCGCCTGGGGCTGCACAGCCCGTACCCTCGACCGCAGGCGGCCGTCGCGGCGCGCCACCCGCGCTCTTCAGCCAAGGACCCGCTTCCCCGGGCCGGCGCCTTTGTTCTGCTCACCGACCGGCTCCATCGCGCCGGGCAGAGGGGAAGCCCGCGTGGAGTGCCAGCGTCCTCGAGGCTCCGCAGTCACGCTCAAGTCTCAATTACTCTCAAAGTGGGGACAGCACTAGAGGGCGGGCGCGGGGCTGAGCGCGACGTCCTCTCCGCCCCCCGCGCGGGGTCCACCCAGCCCCGCTGGCAAACTCACCAGCGCGCACCGCTGGCTCCCAGACACGTTCCGAGCCCCCACGGTGCACGGAGAGCCTCCCGGGCCTGCAGTGCACCCCAGCCTGTGTCGGAGCGGGGGTAGTAAGACCTCAAAAGTCACAGCAGTTCTCCGCCCCTCCCTAAACGTCGCGGGGAGGGCGGCGGGTAGGGACGCGCGCGCGATCACCCTCCGCCGGCCAGATCGGGCGCTCCGCTGGTCCCGCGCCCCGGGGAGCCGGATGCCGAGTCTCCCAATTGGCCGACGCAGTGACACCTCCGCTGCGGCACTCAGAGTCACACAGCCCGGAGCTTGGGAGCCCGGAGGGGGAGCGCAGGTGGCATCGGAAGGCGGGGCGCGGCCCAAGGGGAGCAGCGGCAGCGCCAGCTCCTCCCCCGCCGCCCCTGGCCGCCCTGTCCCTGCGAGGGAGGCTGTCGGCCGCCGCCCGCAGGCTGCCGAGCGCACCGATCCCCGCTCCCCGGCTCCTGCGCGCGCACCCGGGCAGGGCGGGGCGCCTGGAGAGTGGGGACCGCGCGGGCTGGGGGCAGTCAGGGCATGCTGGCTGTGGCCGGTGCTGGAGGGACCCAGTAGTTCCCAGCACTCCCCAGCGGGCGGCTTCGTTCCTCCCCGGTTGGAGATGAAGACATCCCTTTCTGTGTGCTGGCTGCTCCGTGCTGCGTGGCCAGGAATGGCTGGAGGGAAAATCTGGCCTGGAGACTCGGATTCTGTGACTTTCGGGGCCAGGCCGTGCTGAGCCGGCTTGGGGGTTCTCCGCGTGCGAGAATTCTAACGTTCCCAGTCACCATTTCTAGGCCCATCCACAGCTCTGTTCAGATTTCATTATAAGAAGCAGATTGATTTGCCTACTGCTTTTCCATGACCTCTTCCTCTTCCCAACACCGAGGAACTCAAATGCTGGCATTCAAACCCCTCTGGTTGATCTATTTAATTCCTCGGGTCTAAAATAGAAATCAGGCCTCGACTAATAAAAATCGGGCCGCAAAGCTAAATGGGTCTGGTTGTTTTCCCCTCATCATTTTGATCTCATTAAAGTTTTTATTTTTGTTTTAGCAGTTGTTTTGTTTTTTATTTTTTCTGGGGCTTAGTTTTTTGTTTTGTTTTTGCTTATGTATTAAGTTTTGGATTTTAACATAGAAATGTACGTGCAAAAAAAAACCAACATAGTCTTTTTATTTCATTCTCCTGGAATTCTGTGCCTGGGTGCATTCAGGTCCTCAGGGCACGTGCTTTATAATCTACCTTAAAGAGGATACAAAACAGTTAAATGAAAAAGGTACCGGGGATGATTTTTAGCCACACGTGTTGGGCAAGAGGGAGGCTGAGTGGGAAGAAACTTGGGTTACTGAGCGTCTCATGGACTATCCAGTTGAGTCGGTTGTTATTATAACCACGCTACAGATGGAGCTAGCACAGTCAATGGAAGCGACTGCAGAAATAATTTTTGAACATTCACTCAGCTGCAGGACTGAAGCCAGAGAAGCTGAGACATTGGTCTAGGGTGCCAGGGCAGCAGTAGATGACTCCTAAGTTCGTGCTTGAGGCTGACTCGAAAGCATATGTGTATTTGGGACTGGGAGACAGGAAACAAAGCAGAGGAGACAGCCTCAGAGTCATCCAGAAGTTCCCAGGCAAATTTCAACTTCAGAGAGATTTCTGTGGTTTCTCTAAAGCCAGAGGGGTCCCTGATCCAAATTAACCTTTACCTTTATCATGCAACCTCCAGGCACCTCCTCTCAGCTCCTGCACGCGTTCTGGGTAACTTCTGTGTTCAAATGACACTGGACACTCTAGACTCAGTGAGTGACCCACTGTAACGGCCACATCCTGAGCCCTGCATTCACAGAGGAGCATCCCACGCCTGCAATCCTGCACGAAAATCCTAGCCTGTTGTTACTGCTCCCTAGCTTTTTACCTCTCCCATTCTCAACTCCAGTCATATTCTCCAGCTGCCAGCAACTTCTCTCTTCTTCCCAGGTACCCATGCCTCTCAATCCTCTCTGGAGTTCCTTCTCTCCTCTTCCGGGAGTTCATGGTTACTCATTTATTTCAAACATACTCCTAATAGCACCTGCTATTAAGGATCATGCACGCACATATGTTCTCCCACTGCCCCAGCTCAGCAATCCCCAACTCTGAATCAATGTCATCTTCTTCTTTCTCAAGCCAAGGGCAAAGGCAAGAGCAAGTGTACCCGGAGAAAACCACATCACCTCAAGGCCTATGGCCATTTCCAATTGGCATGTCTCACTTTACCGGGTCCTTCTACTCAAAAACACTGCTCCACATCCCTAGCCGGCTCCTCTCCCCAGACACACCCGAGCTAGACTTCAGGAGTTTATGAATAGCTCTCAATCAGATGCAGAAATGCATCTGCATGTTACATAGACATTTTTCTGGGGAAAAGTCCTGTAAGTTTCATGATTCTCAACATAGTCAATAACCCTAAAACTTTAAGGATCTACCTAGTGCGTGTTATATATGCAAAAACATAACCAGCTAAATGTTTATTATATACCAGCTGCTTCTGAAACTAACAAAACTACACTTCAGTGGCTGTGTGGTCTGCTCACCATAAGGTCTGGGTACTAGTCCCATTTCGGTCACCAAATAATAAATCTGTTCTTGACTTTAAAAGGAGAAATTTACCTTGGATAGCACTCAAAATCTTTCCCAGTCATAAAACTCAGTTAAACTACAAAAGCTTTATCGAAAGAGTTTCTTTGGTTGGTTGGTCGAGCAAACTGAAAGGAAAGAGATGGATGGTATTTTCAGCACATAGGTCCCCAAAGGTTTTTTATTTTCAAGACATTTTTCATTCAAGCATGGTTCAAATAACACATACCTTTGACCCGACTCTGTGCCTGTCCCTTTTGTTCGCCTGTTAAAATTTTATCACATCTCATCCAAGTTCATTACAGAAGTTAAAATACTTGGAGTTTTGCCAAGGAAAATAGGGGACTTATCTCTCTGCAGAGGTTTTGCCAACCCATTTACTCTTGCTAGAATCAGAGAGGCAAAGCCTTCAGTCTCATAAAACCCTGAGCATTGCAAGATACTGGCGTTTTTGTTGTTATAATTTCAGCTTTTATTTCAGGTACAGAGGGAGTGTGTGCAGGTTTGCTACATTAGTATATTGTGTGATACTGAGATTTGGGGTATGAATTCCGTCTTCCAGATACTACTGAGCATAGTATCCAATAGTATCCAACAGGTAGTTTTCTTTTCTTTTCTTTTTTTGAGATGGGGTCTTACTCTGTTGCCCAGGCTGGAGTGCAGTGGCACAGTCTCAGATGACTACAGCCTCAACCTCCTGGGCTAAAGGGATCTCCCACCTCAGCCTCCTGAGTAGCTGGGACCACAAGTACACACCACTATGGCCAGCTAATGTTTGTATTCTTAGTAGAGACAAGTTTTGCCATATTGCACAGGGTGGCCTCAAAGTCCTGAACGCAAGCAATCCACCCACCTCAGCCTCCCAAAATGCTGGGAATACAAGTGTGAGCCACCGCGCCTGGTCTTCCGGTCAGAGTTCTGTTGTCACATATGGCCTAGTCACTGTTAGAATTCTATTGTCTCTGCACTCAGTAAGTATTATTACGTTGGTACAAGAGTAATTGCAGTTTTTGTCAACACTTTTAATGGCAAAAACTACAATTACTGTTGCACTAACCTAATAGTTATTGTTGCTATGAAAGTCCCTACAGTTGGCCAGGCATAGTGGTTCATGCCTGTAGTCTGAGCACTTTGGGAGACTGAGGTGGGAGAATCTCTTCAGGGTGGAAATTCAAGGCCAGTCTGAGGCGGAACACGGTGGCTCACGCCTGTAATCCTAGCACTTTGGGAAGCCAATGTAGGCAGATCACTTGAGGTCAGGAGTTCGAGACCAGCCAGAGAACCATGGAGAAACCCTGTCTCTATACTAAAAATACAAAAAATTAGCCAGGCATGGTGATGCACACCTATAGTCCCAGCTACACAGGAGGCTGAGGCAGGAGAATTGCTTGAACCCAGGAAGCAGAGGTGAGCCAAGAACTCGCCACTGCACTCCAGCCTGGGAGACACAGCAAAACTCTGCCTCGAAAAAAGAGAAGAAAAAAAAAAAGACCAGATTGAGCAATATAGCAAGACCCCATCTCTGCAAATATAAAAATAAAAAAATTAGCTGGGCACAGTGACACACTCCTGTAGTCTAGCTGCTTGGAGCCTGAGGCAGGAGGATCACTTGATACCAAGAGTTCAAGGCTGTAGTGAGCTATGATTGCACCACTGCACTCCAGCCAGGGCAACAGAGTGAGACGCTCACTCTAAAAAAGAAAAAAAAAGGTTACTACAACTGAGAAAGGCCAGTAGTTGGTGAAAACAAGCATCAAAATCCACCTGTCTCTGAGACTTAGGCCATACCCCCTACACCCCAGGCCACTTTCCCTGATCAAGATGTCATCAAGCCAGCACGAGTGGTTTGCAAAGTGGAGGTACAAGGCCAGGAGTAGTGGCTCATACCTGTAATCCTAGCACTTTGGGAGGCCTAGGCGGGCAGATCGCTTGAGGTGAGAAGTTCAAGACCATCCTGGTTAACGTGGTGAAACC